AAAAATCCAAAAAATTCAAAACTAACACTATTTAGAGGGCAATTTAACAATGTATAACAAAAGACAAAGCAAAAAGGTAGGAGTAGGAGAGGTGCCAAAAATTCCACTGTAAGAAATTTATTGAAAAAATATTAAATCTACAAAAACTTAACTGCAAATCTAGTGTACTACATTTTGCCAAAACATTGTTCAATTGCCAAGTAAAAAACAAGTTATTTCCATAAATGGGATATTGATATCATTGATTTCTTGGTAAGAAATATGTTAATATAGAAAGAATTATTTTTGAAAAAAGTGGTTATGAACTATATAATTATGGTTGATTTTCTAATTATTTTTGCTCAACTGAGTTTTCTTCAAAATATATGTATTGAAAGCATAATTTAAAAAAATAGTCTTAACACATGATAAAAGTCAAATGTTAAAAGGCATTATGGAATGTTCATGAATATGTGGTAACAGGTGTAGAAAGAATAAAAGGAGAATACAAAGACCTAAAATAATGTTAGGTTAAAAGTTATCCTATATGTTTGGTTAAAGAATAAAACTGAAGTCAGATTAGGAATCAATCACTGAGGGCTGAAGTATCTTAAAATAACCTTTCATCACTGATATGGCATCAATTTTTTGAAAATTTCCTAACAGAACAACTTTATGTGGCCTCTTAATTACTACCAACCAGGTCTCACCATTTGTGACCTATTCTGTCTTACTAGGATCCCCTAAGAGTCAAAGTTTAGGGTTTGTGTTCCTGAGATAGACCTAGTCCTTCCATTTAGCCAATGCAACGTGCCTTGCCTGTGGTCGAAAAAGCGGTCTTCTAATGAGTGTTAGAAAATAGGAAAAAAGAAATCAACAAGAAAACTACCTGACAAAATGAAAGTGGCCACTGATTTCAGAGAAGGGGAATGATGAAAAAAAAAGTCAATTTCAGAACAAAGACATTAAGGACTGGATGAGTCTTTGTTGTCAATACAGAAAAAAAAAGTTACAGCAAAATGTAGACAACATTCTTAATTTAGCATTTTCCCCCCTTTTCCTCTTTTTCACAATATTATAGCTGTGTTGTTCACTGCTTTTGAACTATGTGTACATGTACACTTGTGGACTTGTGTGTCCTCATCTCCTTATCTTTCCTAGTCTCCTCCACCAACTACTACCACCACTACTATTACTATTACTACTGCTGCTACAGGTCTACAATTCTAAGACTCTGAAAATCTAAAAGTCTCTGAAAACCAACAAATTGTCATAAACTATATAAGGGTAAAACTTAACACCTGATTTTGGGTGGCCAAATCTGATCTATAGCAACCAACACAAGGCCTATATAGTGGCCTCTACCTACAACTTAATGAGAATATGCATATGCTTCAAGTATTAGCAAGTGTAATTACTGGTTTGATTATGAATCCACTTCTTACCTTTCTAAAATTTAAAATTTTCAGAATTCTTACATATGTGTAGGCCCAAGAGTTTCAAATAAATCATTATGGATCTACACAACTAATTTAAGCTGTAACTATTACCACTGCTGCTGCATGTACTATAAAACTTTGCCTTTGTGTAGCTCTGTATTTGTTATTCCAGATCATTCTAACAGCTCATCAGCCTAAAGGTATATAACTAAAGATCCATCTATTGTTTAATTAATACATGACTTGTATAACATTTTATCTGATTATTTAGAAAGTTACTGCAAATTTAAACCAACACAATATTAATACTCACAATATCCAAAGCCTGTGGCCATAACCATGGCTACCAGCGCTTTCTAAGTCTTATTATTATTACTATTGAAATTTTCATTCATATTCAACATCCATGTCTGGTGCATTTTGTTTGATGAAAACAAGCTAATTAGTGCTAAACCTTCCCTAGTTCATAAATTTATTCCTAAGAACATTAAAAGGAAGTCAAGTGAGACATGTTCAGTAACAGATGTTTGCCTTATTTGGCTGCCTTTTTACAGTTTGTTCTCTTTCATTACTTTTTAAGAAATTTAGTTAATGTTCCCTTTACTAGAGAACAAGCATACCTAGCTTCCCAGGAGGTGATGGTGGGTGGGAGGAGGGATTTCCCCAGGGCAGGCACAGTCTGTTCATTTTCTTAATCTGTTATCTGCTCAAATGCTGTCTACATTCAACTTTTCATTCTTCCATCCAGGTATTCACTTGTGTGATTTCACAATCACATATCAGTTTATCACACCAAAGAATGCATATGTTGACACAACTGTAGAACTAAAATTATTGTTAACAGTATTACTAATGTGTATGGGCATAGTGCTCCTTAAATATCTTTCCCACATGAGGATATCTCAAAGCAAAAGGTCAATTATGATTGAGAACTGGGTTGAATATTTTGGCTTCTACAATAAAGAAAGATTGTGAAGTGGCCTCCAAAAGCAAAAAGTCAATGGCCTTTTACAAGAAAAGAAACTGAAAACACATATTAAGAATTTCTCTATAATATTAAATTGATTCAAAAATACACATTTAAAATTGTACTACTTATGTATCTAAACCTCCACATTTGAAAATCATTTATGTGGGTGGGACTGTGATGTGATTTAGGAGGTGGCAGGTTGGTAATATCTAAATGATGTATCTAAATACAATTCAGATCTTGCATTTGCCAAGAGTGCTTTCTTTCAAAACTGTATGAGAATAGTTGAATATACTTCTTGATCTATTTACTGCCAAATAAAATTTTGCATGTAGCACATTCTTTCTTTTTTCCAATAAGTATCTTCTAAGCTAGGATAATAGTAGGGGTTTATCTAAAAATAAACATTCAGTAAAATAAAATAAATGATGGTTGTAAAAATAAACTTTAGGCCTAGATAATACTGCTGCAAGAAAACATTACTATTGAAATATGGGCTTTTATTCTGGCGCTACACTGGTCTTGGAGGCAGTGAACTTGGGGTGCACATGACCCAGCATGATACCAGCTGTGGTAGCCAAGGAATGCAATGCCTATATAATCCCTCCCCCAACTCCAGGCATTGAAGCTCAGAGAGAGACTTCTCCTTGGGGGAAGACAGGGGAAGAGTACAGAGCACTTTGTGTTACAACTTGAATACCAGCTAAGCCACAGTGAAATAAGGTACTAGGAAAATTCCTTAAAACCCCCGACTCCAGGCCCTTGTTCCTGGATGGTGTTTCTAAATCCACTTTTAGCTGAAAGGGAATAAATGGCTCTGATAGGACAGACTCAGTCTTGGCGAGATTCACTACCTTCTGACTAAAATGACATTGAGCCTTGAATAGCTAAAGAGGAAGCAAGGCAGTATTCACTGTGGGCACTGGGTGAAAGTCAGTTCTGTGCTGGCCTGCAAGGCTTCAAGTGGGAACCTGCACAGTGTCACTTGTGATGGCCATGGGAGTACCAGCATCATCCCTCCCCCAGCTCCAGACAGCCCAGTACAGAGAGAGACTCCTTCTATTTAGAGGAAACAGAGGGAAGAGAGTGAGAGATTTTGCCTGGTAACCCAACTGTTGCAATGTTCCTGGTTTTAAGGTGTACCATAGTGCTGAAACAGCTGAAGTGACCACAGCCTTAGGTCACAACACTCAGTTCCTTTTAATCTACTGGAAGGCCCTCTCAAGAATTATGAATACAAACAAGCCCAAACCACAAAGATTGAAATAAATACCTAGTTTGTCAGTGCTCAGACATCAGTGTACATCCACAAGCACCAAGAATATCCAGGAAAACATAACCTCAGAAAACTGACAAAATAAGGCACCAATGATCAATCCTGGAGTGATGAAGATATGTGACCTTTTAGACAGAAATTCAAAATAGCTGTCTTGAGGATGCTTAATGAACTTCAAGATAACACATAGAAGAAATTTAGAATTCTATCAAATAAATTTAACAAAGAGATTAAAATACTTTTTTTAAATCAAGCAGAAATTCTAGAGCTGAAAAATTCAATTGACAACTGAAGAATGCATCAGAGTCTTTCAACTGCAGAATTGCTCAAACAGAACAAATAATTGATGAACTCAAAGACAAGCTGTTTCAAAGCACATAGAAGAGAAAAAATAAAAAATAGAATGAAGTACACATACCACATCTAGTAAATAGCCTCAAAGGGGCAAATCTAAGAGTTATTGGCCTTAAAGAAGACATGTAGACAGAGATGGATCAGCGTAGAATGTTTACTTAAAGAAATAATAACTGAGAACTTTCCAAATTTAGAGAAAGATACTAATATCCAGGTACGAGAAGGTCAAAGAATACCAAGCACATTCAACCTAAATAAGACTACCTCAAGGCATATAATAATCAGCCTTACAGGTCAAGAATAAATAAATGATCCTAAAATCAGTAAAAGAAAAAAAAGCAAATAACATTAAAAAGCTCTGACAAGTCTGACAACAGGTTTCTGGGGCCAGGAGGGAGTAGGATAGCATTTTCAAAGTGCTGAAAGAAAAATACAACTTCATTAAAAACCTTATCTTCAAATACAGTAACATTGGGGGTTAGGACTTTGACAAATGGATTTAGGGGAAGCACAGTTCAGTCCATAACATTTCAATAGGAATTTGAGAGGTAAATCTCAAATATCAAGAAATATCAGAACACTTTTGGCTGTGTTTTTCTACCCATATTTTCCCCTTCATTGGATTTTATTTCCCTTTTTCATGTGTACTATATTTATTAAAAGCCATCTTAAATCTCTTTTGTAAGACAGTGAGTAAATAAATAAATAAGTAAAATTCTCATCTGTAATAGAGTTGTAAGGATATTTGCTCGTTGAAATAACTAGTAGGACCTGTATTACTGGGTGCTAAAAGATTCTGAAGGAGATTCAACAGTCATACTCCTCTGTGTATACTAACAAATGTATATAAAATGTGTAGATTTATAATATATCTTATAATAATTCTTCCTTTGATAATGTAACAGAACATCAATGGAATTAAAATTTTATAGGTGATGACATTGTTTTTCTACTATGTCAACTCTTCTTTTCCTTATTATAGAAAACCTTTATTAAAAAGGAGCAACAACCTATCAAGCCAGAACCACAATCACAACCCAGGTATATATTTTATATAATGGAAAAGTGTAAATTAATGCAGTCATTTTTGATGTTATCAATGTAATTTCTGAGTTTTATATATAGGTTTAAAGAAGTATAGGTTGTTTTAAGCTCAAGTTTTTAATATCTGTTTTTCAATGTTGCCTTTTAATTTGACTGAGGAAAGGAGAAGAAGAATACTTTTTTTTGAGTGTCTTAGTAATCAGTAGACCCAGCTGAAGTTTTACTTTGTAGTATTTAGGAGAAAGCAGTGTTAACAACGCTGTATATGTTTTAGTTAATTTTTTGTTTATTAGAAACTACATACCACAATTCACTATGGTTAATCATGCATTTCAATGAGTCTATTAAGAACACTTAGATTGCTTTGCTACTTTATATACCAAATTTGTTGATAAACTGTTTTGAAAAACGTTGATTTTCTGAGACAGATTAGAGGGTGAGATTGAATAAAGCAATTGTGAAAAATTAACAGTGAAGTTTCTAAAAAGGGCAACTTTCATGCTTGTGTTTTCTTATTCACGGGGAATACGTTCATTTGTTAATGATAAATGATTGTAAACTAAAAAAACACACAAATATTTGAAGGCACTGGAGAGTGATGGCATGTAGACAGAAACTGGAGGGAAACTATTTCCTTCCTGAAAGGAACTGCAATAGGTAAGATCCCCATTTATATAGCTTTTCCCACATCATGCAGTGTGAAATAGTGAGACCTTAGGCAGAAAACCTAGGTGTTAATGGTGTGAAATGTCAGAAGACAGACAGAGTTTAGTACTGTCAAAATGACTAAAAATTGATTAAGAAATTTTATAAAAGGAGAAAACCACACAGAGAGAGGAGTCCTAATTCTGTGTACAAACTCTTCTAAAATTATGGGCTGACCCCTGAGCTGTGCATGTGTAGAAAAGACTTCGAGAAAGTGCATCTGAAAGTAACAGCTTGCATAGTTTTCAATTGCTTCACCTGTTTACATAGAAAGAAAAGGATTTATTGGCCTTAAAGAAGATATGTAGACAGATTTAGATCAGGGTAGAAAGTTAAAAAAATGAATAAATAAATAAATGAAAGAAAAATAATAAATAAAGTTTTTTTCTTTCTATGGATGTTGGAATTAGCATATAAGGGCTTTAAAGCAGTTAATATAAATGTTCAAAACTTCAAAAGGTGTTCATTATAACACAGAAGATTCCCAGTACAGAAATAAAAGCTGTAAGAAAGAATCAAATGAAAATTCTACATACAGCAGATTTGAACAAACCATTAATTCATTTGACATAAATGACAGTTATAAAAGACTACATCCAATAATGTAGAATATATATTATTTTTAAGGGCACATGTAACAGGTATTAAAAAGATAAGAACAGTAGGCAATAAAATAGAAATTAGGGATACAATAAACCAAATTAACAAAGCACATAAATCTTTGGAAAGATTAATAAAATTTGTGTGTTCTTAGTGAGACCAGTTTTTTAAAAAAGGGAGATAAAACACAAATTACCAACATCGAGAATGAAAGATAAATCATTATATATCCTACAGAGATTACAATGATAAAATAATATGTAAATAACTTCATGCCAATTGCATTTAACTAAGAGGAAGTAGTCTAATTTTTTGAAAAAAGATAGCATACCAAAACTGACACAAGAAGTAGAAAATCTGAATGACCGTGTCTACTAAAGAAATTGAATTTGTTCTCAAAAACCTTCTCACAGAGAGAATTCTTTTAAAGCAAATAAATTATAACTGTTCCATGTAAATTATTTTGAAAATATTTGATGGCATTTAAAGCAGTTTGTGTTCTTACGTAAGTCCTTTTCCCGGAAATATTCTTTACCTGGTTAATTTGATTGGAAAGTATTTTTTCCTTATAAGATGTTAATAAGTTAAAATTACTCCCGCCATTTCAATGATAAAGAATTGGGCAGCCTTCCATATGAGTGGTTATTATAGTTATTTGGCTTGAGCCAGCCAGATAATCTGAACTCGAAACATTTTTCTGTACAGTTTACCCTCTGTAAGTTTTTCATGGATGCCTTAAATATTTTAAAGATTGTTGGCTGATGGAATTCTGGACATCACTTGATTCACTCCTCCGTTTTCCAATTAGGAAAACTGGGATAAAAAAGATTTAGTGACTTCTTTAAGGTCCTGAAAGTAAAAATCAGAACTGTGACTAGAATCTGTCCCCTCACAGCATAGTGATATTCTTAATCAGGTATGCTCCTTTTATACCATTTGTATCTTAAATTTTAGTAGACTTTCTGATGATTACTTAAGAGAGGTAAATTGAAACTATACTTAATAAGAAAAAGAAGCTATACTTAATAAATTATTAAACTTGAGTGGCTCTAGTGATTTAAAAAGTATTACTAGAATAGAATCATGGAGAGAGAAAAATATAAAAGAGTGAAATTAAATGTAAAAATAAAGCAAAGTAGTGAACAATATAAAACTGTGTATATGTATGTGAGATTTTATATGTCTGTATAAAATACACAAATACACTTAATTGAAAATATTTAAGTAAATGAATATTAAGATTCTCTTCTTTATTTGAAATCGTACCATTTCTATCATAAAAATTGCATGAAACTTTGGAATTCACATGCTGGATTTATAGCTTTGCCTAAAGAACTTTTCTTGTTACAGAGGAATTTCCCATATATTTTTCAGCTAGAGGTTTCCTTAGAGCCTGCATGAGGCAGAGTATATTATAACCTTCCATCAGTCATAAGTCAACTTCAATAAAGTACTGGCCAATTTCTAAAGTACTTTTGCGTTTCAAGGGTAAAAATATGTCACACATATATTACTATTGCCAGGCTACAGTAAATATAAGAGAGTCTGTTTTCCTCTGTCTCTTCTTAGTTATAGAAAAAAAAGATGATGGAATTAATTTACACATACCCACAAGCTTTGCGGGAACCCTTTACAGTTGGCAAATAGGACTGGTTTATGTACCCACTCAGCAGTATTTTTTTTAAAGGAGGCAGTCACTTGGCTGTTAAAATGTGGGAGTGGGGAAGTTAAGGAAACTAAAAATGCTGCAGCAGTGCTTGGTCTGGAATTACTGCTAACGTGAACAGCCACTCTTATTCTTAGTTGGCTTATATGGATAAATAGTGGTGGGTAACTCAGAGTCCTAGTTATTTCTCTCCTAATCTTCAATGATCACAAACCTAAAAGGAAATTTCACATTCATTTGTCATTGTTGCTGTTCATCTTCCTGTTTTCTTTAACTGTAAACATTTCAATATTCAGAAAGGGAGGAAAAGATGGTGCTATCGTGCTTGGGTATATTTCTTTGTACAAATATATGTACAAGTATATATAACATTTTCCCTTAGCAGCATTATTAAAGAAATAGCTGTAATACTAAAATTTTACACTTTTAGAATGTATTTACCGGGTTAAAAAGATTGCATAGTGGATATAGATACTTGATTTAATTTGGGGGTTGTTAAATATATTTGTGTATTTTTATGAAAAAAATGTTTATCTTTTTGCCATCATTTTACAATTCTGCTGTATAAATATTCATTTCATATACACCTATGTCCAACATTTATAGTAAATTATTTTCATAGATGAAACCTTATAAAACAAAATTGCTTAATATCTGTATTTTTCTACATCCCCAGTATTTTAATTTAAATGATACATTTTCAAATTGTTAGAACTCCATAAGTTTCTGAAAATTGTTAGAAATTCATAAGATTAAAATATGGTTGAAAATTTCTAAAACAATTTTTAAAGGAGAAGTTTATGTTAAACATTTCAAAGAAAGCCAACAAATCTTAGTTCAGTCAGAATTGCCAAAGGAACATTTTTCTGAGTTTTAAAAAATAAAATATCTATTTTTTAAATTTAATGCCTTTAAAACAGACAGAATTATATTTAAATAGATGTTGTTCTTAATTTTTAGTTTAAATAAATGTAATGTGTACATGAAAGATAGTATACACATTTATTTTTTATTTTTATAAAGGTAAAGATTATTTTGCATTGCAGTGGGATCTCATCTTTTCCTGACATCATCTTTTTCATCTCCTTCTTTATGCCTAATATATATTTTCCATTTTTTATATAGTATCTTTAATATAAAGCATGAAAAGCAGTTTATATTATTACTTAAAGGGAAATAATGCATTGAGAGTTCATTCTCAATATCTAAGCAAACACTGTGAACCAGAAGCTGTACAGATTATAATTCATTGTACTATTGTGATGACATTGTTCTTTTATTTTCTGTGAGAAAAAATACTTTATAATGTTCCTTGAGGTTCACTTGAATTTGTTTAGTATCTCTAAACATATTACAAAAGTCTACATTTTCCTTAAGATAACCTATCACATTTCATGAATAAAACACTCTTGATTTTTTAAATTGCAGTGAGCTGTTAATCTTGTGTAGATCAATATGACCTCAGCGATAAATTTTCCTTTTGTTGAACTGCTAAAGCTTATAATTGTTTTTAAAAAAGTTTGACTGATTTCCAGGTATAGAATCTAAATTGATGGGTCTTTAATTCATAGAGAAAAAATATTCTATTGTTGACCCATAATGTTAAATTTCTGATTATAATAATTTCAGAGGCTGGTCATCACCCTTTCATCCTTTTAGTATTTAATTTGCTTCAATTCTTGATATAAATGTTGACATTTACATTTACCATCTATGAAGTAAAGTATACTATTTTTGAACTTTTGAGTTTTCCTTATTTTTAAAAAGAATTTCATGTATTATTTTAGCTCATGTAAATATGTGGATGAGGAAAAGTTGTATTCTTCCTTCTTCCTATTTCATAGCATACTGGAACTAAAAGGGTAAGAAGTTTTGATACTAATATCTTTCTGAAAGGCAAATTGAATTACTAATTATAAATATTTTCTTTTTTGATATAGTTGCATACAGTATATCAATTGTCATATCTAAGTATAAAATTCACATTTCAGAGTCCAGATATTTATGTAGGTTCTTGAATATTTCC